GTCGGAGAGGCGGTAGGCGAGGCGGCGCTGCGGCCGCGACACCGTGTACTGGTACGTGACGCCGGGGTTGCGGTGCTTGCCGCCCGAGATACGTTGCTGCGGACACAAGCACAATGCACACCGTGTAGCGACATCTCGCGGCACACATTCTAACTATTGTTAAGAAGAAAATTAGTACCGTGCTCTAGAATTGGCGCAACACTAGATTATCGGCATATACGTCACGTCCCTAGCTGACAGCTGTCAATGTCATTGGAAGGATTGGAATATACACGCGCATTCCTGATAAGACCTCTAGTGCAGTGTTAAATTAATATCACCAGTAACAATTATATTGATTGTTTAAAACTGTCAATAACTTCTGCACCTAAATGCTGTTTTATTTCTTTCACAAACACCTCAACGAATACAAGAAATATAACTACGACACTTAAAGTGGTTGCTTAATAACTCGCTTATATATTTTTACTAAGAGCAGGCTTATACTTTGAACTGTTGTGCGATTGTCGATTGTTTCACTATTTGGTTGTACAACTAAATCGAGTAGTGTGCGCACCTCCATATAAACTCATAGGAATCAAAGCGAAACTAAACAGTTATGCGATAATTTTATTAAAAGGTGTTCGATCTAAATCTACACTTAATGTCTACAAAAGTGTCTTCGTTATTCTCTATTACTGAATGTTTTAGTTTGAATACTTACGAATACTTTGATATCTTCAGCGAGCGGTCCGCTGATGCGCACTTTCTCCCAGTCGCGGTCTCGCTCGTAGATCGCCGGCGCGCCCGCCACGAAGTACTCCGATATTGTCGCATTTCTATATACAAACATAAACTCTTGTGAAATTTGACACTGAAATTCACGGTCAAGTATTAAATTAACAGTAGAGATCTAGTAACATGTTATTGTACAAATTCTGGTACACTATGTTACCTCGCGCCGACGAGGTACATCCTCCGGGACTTGGCGCTCCTGATGGAGATGTAGTTCCCGGTGCTCACTTTCTCTTCGATCTTCACGTTTCTAGAACCCGCCGGGATCACTGCAACCTGGAATATGTTTAAAGTACAGTCGAGTAAACGTAAACTGGCGGTTCCAATTTAAAAGCTGTCGTTTGAACATTTAGAAAAGTGACGCGGAACAAAAATCTATACAATGTAACTTATAAATGAGTCGAGAAGAAATCGATTAATGTTACAAAACACATCAAATTATTATTATTAGCAGTAGTAGTAAGTAAATTGCATGTTACAAGGAAAACGTTAGTTATGAGTGTGGAAGGATACACCGGTAGAGGCAGACCTAGAAAGAGCAATGAATAAAGCATTTTTGAATTGGAACACCGAGAATTTCAGCGATTGTACAAGCCATAGTATCAATCTAGAACACCATTGTCATATTATCGTGTGTCATGTTTAGTATGTGTACCTCGGAGTAGCCGGGCTGTCGCGCGGTGTCCTTGGTGTAGATGCCGAGCACGGTCTTGCAGGCGGCGCCGGAGCCCCCGCACACGCCGCACGCGTCCTCCTCCAGCTCGGAGCCCACGATCCAGTCGCAGCCCACCTTGTAGCACACGCCTGCACAAACATATCTTTATTACTTAACATTATTGAACTTCACACTTGTAATTATAGTTTGTCTATTTAAGAGAATCTCGCTTTGATTCCTATATACTTATATGGAGGTGCTTTAGTTATGCAACTAAACAGTTAAATTGGCTGAGAAACAATCGACAATCGCATAACTGTTGTGCGACTGTTAAGTCAATGGTGTACGCCCGCTCTAAGTTTGCTAAATTAATTAATACTTTATTTAGTTTAACAAAGAAGAATAAATTTGTTATAGTATAGAATTAGAATTGTATGGAGATAAATGCCGTACTTAATAGACGAGAATTATAGTAACTAGTATTTAGATGACTGACGGGGGAACTTCTGGTTCGTATTATTTTCGTTAACCGTGTCTATTAATATACACTAAAAGTTTGAAAAATGTATAAAAAAAATGTTTGTTTGAGGTAAATCGTCCAGATTTAAAAAAAATAAGGAGTCATCAAGCTTGTAGAAAGATAACTAAAATAACTCTTAAGTTTACCCGATATGCACATGTCCCTGGCGCCGAGGTTCTGTTTGCAGGGCGTGCCGTCCGCCACGAAGCCGCCCAACATCTCCACGTCGCTGCGGCTGCGCGGGATGCACTGCAGCTCGCACGGCTTGTCTGCACAACACACATTGTCATCTGTCATCATTATAAATGCGAAAGTATAGACGTGTGGATGTTTGTTAGAGTTCGTAGTCTAAGTGACTGAACGGACCTAGATGTAGAGGATAGTTTGAACGAATACATAGGCTACTTGCTTTTGTTTTTTATAATACCGTGTGGACGGAATCGCAGGTAAAAACTAAATAACGTAGCTATTATATTAAATAGTAATTAATACATGCAGTATTAATTACTACTGAGGAACTTAATTTGAACAATGTAGTCAATGGCACGGATTTTGAATGATCATTTGACTTTTGTTGTCAATAATATGGATAATGATTTGACTATTGATGTCAGTAGTATAGAGCTAATTTGATTAAGAATGTCAATAGCGCGAATACAGAATTTACAATTGTGTAAGTATAATAAACAATGCTATAATTTGCTATATTACATTTGAATACGGTTGCAACTATATTTTTCAATCTTACAAATATTTCAAATGGGAAAGTTTAGATATATAGATGGATTTTTGATTGTCGCCTAAAACGGATCTCGATATGGCATAGTTGTAGAGGGTAGTTCGAAAGTACACACAGGCTACTAACTTTTGTTTTATTATCAACTTTATGCGGATAGAGTTGCAGGTAGAAGGTAATATATGTATAAATTACGAACCTTGATCGAAGTACGGCACCCAGTCGGAGATGGTCTCGTTGTTATATGTAATGTTGTTGTACTTAGCGCACTGCACCTCGCGGAACGTCGGCTCGTTGATAGGGCACGGCTCCGTGTTGCACACTTTGTACCTGCAATTAAGTTTGTACTTAGTTAATTAACATACACGCAAACTATAAAGTATATTGACATTGTTGTAAAGAGAATAGATGTCTCTTCTCTTAAGAAAATCCTTTCCCCTTAAGAAAAGGGTGGAAAGGGAAAGAGCCTAAATTAAGGCTCTGCCCTGGCTTCTGTGTGTTTAGTTATAACGTGGGCGTTACCGGCTCCTGTCGCCGATGCAGTATTTGCCGTTGTTGAGTGGCTCGGGGCGGTTGCACTCCCGCGCCTGCGTGCTGACGCCGGCGCCGCACGAGCGCGAGCACTCGCTCCACTCGCCCCACTCGCCCCAGCCGCCGTCGCGCGGCGTCGGCGACGGACTGCGCGCCACGCACGTCTGGTTCTGACACCACTGCACAACACCATACAACAATTTTATTAGCATTAAAACACAAAATACCCAAAGTTTGATATACTTTGAACATGCTCAGATCGTTTATCAATTGTTACGCATTGCCTTGTAAAAACGTAGAAGAGATTTTTACGTTTTTTGACCGACTTCCCAAAAGAAGGAGGTATTCAATTCGACGATATGTTTTTTTTTTTATTTTTTTTTAATACAAGAAAGGGACTACTATTATTGTGTTGCGTCAAACGTCTTTGTGGGAAAATACCTACGTTATTATCACAATAAGTTTTCAAGAAATCATACTACAAAGTTTAGATGGATGAATGTTTATTAGAGCTTAAACGGCTAAATGGATCTGAATGAAATTTGGCATAGATGTAGAACATAGTCTTGAAGAACATACAGGCTACTTGTTTTTGTTTTTTTAAATTCAACGCGGACTCGCAGCGAAAGCTAGTACGTTCATAAAAAATAACACATGAGGGTAGTTGTAATTTCTATTGAATGTTAAGGAATCAAGATGTTCGAGTACATCATACGTTACCATGTTGTGACCGCAGGTGGTGCCGGGGGCGGCGGGGCGCAGCATGGTCTTGCAGGTATTGTTGACGAGGCACCACAGGTGCTCGCACAGCTCCGTGGGCTTAGCGCACACAACTGCCTCCGCGCCGAACTGCAGGTGGCACTGCGTCGCCGCGTCGAATGTCACTCCTAACAATAGACAAGGCTTTTTAACTTGATTATAGATATTGTTTTACAGGCAGAGTGATAATAATACTAAAGGACAGTTAAATTTAATATGGTTATTTACCACCAAATTTCAAATATTAACTTACCCGCTGGTACTTCAGGATAAACGTACTCCTGCTGTGAAGGCAAGTCGCTGAGGCATTCTCCTAAACCGGCGCTGAAATAATAAACAATGTTTTAAATTATTCACAGAAGTCACGAAGAAGGTTTTGAATTTATAAAAGACTCAATGTTATTGTTCTATCATATATAGAAATGTGTAATAAACCCTTTAATTGCACAAAATTGTATTAAAATTCTCGAAAGTTGATAAATCAAATTATTAGAGATTTTTTAAAATTACATTATTTGGAAAAGCCGTTTCTTAAGTTGTAAAACTAAATTATCACTGATTAAATAAATGACAATAGTCTATTATTAGGAAAAACCTGATTTGCCGCAACTGTTTAATTAAAGATTATATTTTTTTATGTTTTAAATATGTAAATTAAATATGTTTCGTTTATGAAATACATGAATGATGTAATTTAGTATCAAAATGACAGTTTTATTCTATGGCATCAGCAGTCGAAACCAGACTATGTTTTTTTTTTGAAGTCATAATATTATTTAAAATAACTTATTAGAGTAGCAATTGAGAATTTTCATACATAATTTAACACGTTCACTACATAACAGGTCGATATCTGCCTGACGCGGTATTTAAGCTGGTGCGGACAAAGAAAACTAAATCCCTCGCACTAAAGCGAAACGATTCTTTTAAGCGTATACATTACATTACGTAAAATGTATATATTATGTTCCCTCAAAGTTATAGCAGTTTAATATATCCTAGTAGTGTTGGTGGGTCTTGAAGGGCCTGTCACGCACTGGCGGAAATATCATAGGGGGCCCATTTCGGCCCGCCGCCGCACCAGTTGTACAATTATGATTTGACTTGCTGCAACGTGTTAAGTCACAATGTATTCTGTGACTAAATTTATTTGATATTCTGAGAAACAGTGACCCAGGTTTGAAGTTATATTATCAAAAGCGTTTTCAGAAACAACAATGTTTTCTTTGGACTTAAAAAATTAAAATGGCGACCACTATGATGACTAGCGTCATATGATTATTCTACGGACCGGTTATTCAATGAAACATATTAAGATAATGTTGTATAAACAATGTATGGAAAGATAATTTTGTTTGATTTAGTTGATAATTAACTGTTTTATCGTGTTAATTTTGTCTGTTCTATTTATAAATGTTGTTTACTTTTGCAAAAAAATATACGAGTAACGGTTACTAATATAACAAGTACTAATTCACGTTTCTCAAATTGTTTTAACGTTGTTTTAGTCCATTTGTACTCAAAAAGTCTTTCGAACATTACATCACTTTTTTCTTTTATAAACAGGGAACCTCGTACGAAAATTTTAGAAAATGTTTTCGTAACATCATCTACAAAATTCGTATTAAATTAGTGCATTAATTTACTGTTTTTTATTACTATCGGGATGAAAGTACATAGACAAATCTCATCTAGCCTCTATTCTCTAGTTTTATCTATAGTTACAGTTGGCATTTTATATATCATAAAGTTACTTACTCAAGAAAGTTGGTGACATCTCTCTTGCTGCACCGTGACCATGCCACTTGTATGGTGTCAGCCTCGAATATGGGTGTCATGACGTGTAGCGTCGATCCCTCGCGGCGGTGGCATCCGATTTTCTCCGTGTCATGGTACAGGCCGAAACTGTTTAAATAGAAAAAATAATTAAAACCCAAATAATCAAATCACGACTAGATTTCCTGGAAAGTGTTTCCATGTATAAAACTCCTGCATAAAAAGTATAGACGCATTCATAGTAGCACTACTTACAATTTGCATCTAAATATTACGTAGGCGTTATTATAAATTAAGATTAAATTTATAACGCTCGTAAGTGAGGGAAATGTATACAATATTGTAGATTAACATGTACATTTGTAGTTCGTGCGAAATATAATCCCGCGTTTGGCTACACATCTGGGTCACGGACGTGTTTCCTTATCTTTATGCAAATTATCTTTCAGAAATGCATACATTGATATCTTAAAAAAAGACCTCATTATTTATTATGCAGTTAAGATTATAACAATGTCTTCAAAATAATAAAGTAGCGTGGGGCCGATAGCGCGGCGTCAATGCGCCGGAGTGCATCGTACTCGACGAATGATGCATTCATACTACCAACTACAAGGAAGAAGGTCATTGCCTGCATTCAACTGTTTGCACGACTTACGTAACCAATATTTATTTAGGCTCGAAGCGACTCCACTGTGTTCACTGTTCTATTATAAACATATGTCCGCGTCCGAAAAGTGACATACTCGTACTATATCATGGAAGATGCCTAGTTTAAATTCTTTTTGATTTGAATTAGATAAATATTTTTTTGGCAAAATTAAGAAGAATCTTTTTGATGTAACTACAATTCACATATAGAGATATAATAGGACATGTCTTTTTTCAATGGTGTCTTTTTTTCATGAGAACAAAAGTAAAGAGTTCAATGTTTTCTTTTACTCTAACATTAATAAAATAGTTGATGAAGTTATTTGATTACGCGCCAAAAATAATTCGGTTAAGAGAATCGATGAAAATACCAATTTACAGATTGAAAATAATAATTTACAATAAATTTCGATATGTTATAACAGTTAACGTTAAGAAAAACATTAGAATATTTTGATAGACGATGTTGCGGCGCGTCCTTGCGGTAATCTCAGCTCAGAGCGTGACTCATGCCTTACAATCCAAGTGCTCGGCAACAGCTCACGAATAAAACTCAATACAGAATTATTCCCGAATGTACGCACCCATACAGTACGATGTTAGAACATTTGGCTTGCGTAATCCCGTATACACTAAACTAAAATACGTTGTAACGAGTACGCTAAACCGAATTATGAGAGTACCTGTACAGTACAGTATAATCTATACTATTATAATAAAGCGTAAACACACACTTCTTTGTTGCCTAAGATGTCAGCAATTACAACACATATTTGAAAAATTCCTTTTCTAATAAAAATCCCTACACTTACGTCACGCTTTAGGCTATATATTTTCACGCCATTAAACTAAGGGGGTAAATATTTTGGATAAAAACCCTAATGTGGGAAAGAGACTATAAGTTGCTGCCAACATCAAAGAAGCAAGATTGCCAGGGTTTGTAATGTCATGTCATTTTGACATTTGCTGTTGATAATTTGACAAATGTAAACAATAAAATAAAAATTTCATAATTTTATGCCGATGAAGCCGCACGGGAACAGCTAGTTATTTTATAAGAGTCTACAACGTTTTGACATATATTAATGTAAAAATCGCAGTAACATTTGACATTGTGATCACCACAAAATCCTACGACTAATGGATACTAAAGTAAACTACCATACTCATATTATAAATGCGAATGTTTAGATGGATGGATGTTTGTTAAAGTTTGTAGCCTAAACGGCTGAACTGATTTCTATTAAATTTGGTATAGATGTAGGGGATACTGAGGAAGAACACATAGACTACTCACTTTTTTTTTTAATTTGGCGCGGTCGGAGTCGCGGGCGAAAGCTAGTAAACTTATAACATACTTCAGGTTCATTGCTATTCAGTTTGATGAGATACAAATAGATCTGCTGCCTCAAATGAAACTTTCTTTTTACTTTTTTTCATTCATGAAAATTTCTAGACAATCTACACATATAATCTATTCTTACGATATCTTTAAGCCGTTATATAAGTATAAACAATAACAATCCGCCCACTAAAATCAAGATTGTAAGGATTAAACGATGCTGTTGCAATATTTTAATAACCCATTTTACGAGAGTCCGCATCGTAATTGTGCCTTGCGCTGTACGCGCGGGCTTTTGTACTGGACAATGCAGGGTTGCCAACATCACTGAATTTACAGACGATTAATGTTCATGTTATTTATGTTATCTGTTAAAATGTCAATTATTTAGCAATATCAATAACAATGTGGTTAAACGCAAAGTTATGTGCCAAATATCTATAAAAATTAAATCGATGCATGGTACAGTAAAATGTAAATAAAGGTGGGATTCCACTGACTACATTTGTTTGAAACATATTTCATCATCTTGGAAAGAGACAAGTATTAGTTAGTTCTGTCAGGAAATATGTAAACACAGGCATAGAAAATGGCATGAAATAAAAACATGACTTGATAGCTACAGTAAAAAAGACCTTGCGAGTCTTTTTTGATTTTGAAATGAGGGCGCTAGTGAGCTGTAATATTTTAGTTTGGCTTGTAGGTTTATATGTCAGTATCCTGTTCGTATTTATGTCATAAATTAAATTTGACATGTACAAAATGGCTGTTAATACCGACGTTCGGAAACATATAAAGTAAAGATTAGTTACGCCATAACGTTAAATGTAAATGTTGCTTTATAGTTAATAGGTTTAATTTAATGTGTTAACGTAAATAGGAATCTTTTAACCTTTTCATAGGAAATTGATTTGGTATTGATTTACGGAAGAGTTGATTTTCATTTGGTTTTTTTTTTGCAATGGCCTTAAGTTTGGCAGCCTCTAATGGTATTGTAACGAACTTGATTGCATCATTAGATATGTCGTCTCACAATCACTAATACGCTTGCGATAACTTTATAAACCGGTTGTATTGCTGTTTATTGTTAGGTAATTGATATTTCAGTTAATTTGATATCGATTGAATCGTAGACGTTCGAATCGAACGGAATGAGCACAATAATTATCGTAATTGCGGCCATACATTTTATGATTTGTACAAAGTTGTTAAAGAATAAGACTGGTCAGTTTTATGTACAAAGAGAGTTCATACAGGAATCTGCAGTCTGGTGTTTGAAATGTTTCTTAGTTACGGGCTTTTGATATATTTTTACTTTTTGCAGAATTGCTTTAATAAAAAATGCTAGCCTTGATGAACTCCCTCTACAGAAAGATGAGTATGTTGATATATACTAAAATAAAGAGGCAAGATTTGTACTTTTCTATGTTTTTATAACTCAAAAATTACTGGGCTGATTTGAAATATTCTTTTACCCTTAGTCAGTAAAAAAATAGGCAATGTTTTTTGTTATTTTCTTAATTTCACGTGGACGAAGTCGCGAGCAGCTAGTGTTAACTATAATACTGACTTGTGTCCGAGCTCGTGTGTGATGGTGTGCGCCAGCATGATGCCGTTGTCCTCATTGACGGAGCAGCTGCGGTCCGGCTTGCACATGCCGGCCACGTGCGCCACGCCAAGTGTACTGCAATAACACACGTTAATTAATATAAAGAAAACTATAAGACAATTGAGAGCATTAGGAAATTGTCACGACCTTGTTGATGATTAGCGTAAAGTCGTTTTAAAAATGGAACCGAAGATACTCGTCTCTTTCCCATTCATAACCCTACTTTATTTTCTTACCGACTTCATTATTATCCAAACCAAAATAAATTTTGATGCAATTACGGATGTTTAAGCACTAAAATTAGTCCCACATTTGTTAAATAAAAATAATAAATAAAAAAACGACAATTATTCACTATTTTAATGAATGAGTGTGTCGAATTATCGCTCGAAATGAAGCAGCGGTGAACGCGACATGGCCTTGTCAATATTGTACTACTTCGGTTTACTTTTGCCATAGATAAGATTTTATAACCCAATAAGTGCTTTATCACCATTTTAGGCCATTTCTTTCGCATATAATTTGTTTTAACATCTGACGTATCCGGGCGTGTAATTGTACAAGTATTGCTAAAATAAATGCGCTGAATATGTTTTCAGTTTAGTTTAGGTAATACATTAAAATTAAAACGCTAAAACTGTGTACTGTATTACTGCGTACTATGTACTGTGTACAAAGTACTATGTAATACCTGCTGTGTACTATGTACAATACATAGTACATAGTACGTATTACACAGTACTACTAGAAACAACAGTGTCTACTAGAAACTTGTCGCGTCGTCTGTTTCGCTTGTGACCACATACCAAAGTTCTACAAGTTGTCCGGCGCCGCGCACAGTAAATATCGCAATCAAATGTTCCGTCGGTCGCTATTTCTTGAACTACGATTAAAATAGACGTTGCAAATTGGATACGTACTAAACTACCACCATTGCGTTTATAATTCGACTTAATGATGATATCTTTATAGCTAATTAATCGATTATTTTGTAGATAGAAGATTCGTTCGGATATACAAAGTTTCAAGAATATGTTTTATTTTTTTCCTTAAATCTGTAAATCTGTACAATCTTTCATGTTAGTACAGTTTCATGTAGTAATATTATAAATCCGAAAGTTTAGATGGATGGATTTGGATGGACCACTAATTAACTTTTTTTTTTTAATTCTGAGCAAACGGTGTCATAGGCGACATCTAGTGACCCAATAAATCAGCTGTAAACTGTCATGAGAAGACATAATTGCGTTATATTTTAGTTATTTAGTCGGTGTGGTGCATAGCAGTAGGAGCATCGCGGTTACGGGCGCGGCTGCGGAGCTACCAGACGGGAATAGGCGGCTAATAATATGCGCCGACGCTGACTCAGCCACGCGGAAGCTGACGGAAAACTCTATAAATTTGCACTAATAAATTCTAAAACACTATAATAGTTAGGAATCCCACGCCACGCCTATATCTTAAAATATTTTACTAACTTATGATTATACTGGAAGCTATGTTAGATGATAACATCAAGAGTCTCTTCTTGTAATTATGCTTAAGTTGTCCAACTCTGAGTGCAGCAGTAAGTTATAAGCTTGTGAATTGTCTATTTTAATGATGTTTATAAGGGTTTTAATAAAGTTACGTAAAGCAAAATATATAAATGATAGTAACACAGTAATATTTACGAGCGTACTATGTAATTACAATAATTACATGTGCGTTGATGTCTTTTCTTAGCGCGTATATTACGCTACGTTAAACATGTTTTATCTTGCAACTCATAAGATTATAATAACAGATAAGAAAAGCTTAAATCCTATCAATGTAAGTGCATTGTACGTGTTGTCAACGGCTCGTCGGTAAATGTTAAAAACGTTATTACTTCGACTCGGAGGTCCTGTGTAACTGGAATTGGAATTAGTTTCGAAAATGACGTTACGAAATCCAAACGAGCGGTTTGCGGCTCGCGTCCGACTGTTACTTCAGCCTTTAATCGACCGCGAACAGGTTGTCGCGTCACAACCATACCGGCTTTTATATTTCGTTTCAGTGTCGGCCTTTATTCGGATGTCATTAAAAATTAACAGAAAGAAACGTTATGAATGAGAACTTTTATAATTTAAATGAGATTACCGTTTTGAAGCGAAGCATTTGCATATAAAATCCGTGCAATTTTTTTGTATTAATGTTTGGCCTTCATTACATCGTATGTTTAATTCGTTGCAAAAAAACGAATCGCATAAATAGTCGTGCGAGGCAAAATAATTCGGACAGTTCGATATTTAATGTTTTTTAGAGCGATAAATTAGTTTCATACGGCCAGTTTCCTTTTAATAATAAGCAAAAAGTTTTTGTATAAAAGTCTTGTTGAATATAAATGCTAGAACAAAAAATATATAAAAAATGAGTTACGTTCGTCGTTAGAGATTAGCGAAGTAGGTGCGCGTCTGTGAAGCGTGAGCCATGAGGTGTGAGGCGTGAGGCATGAAGTGTGAGTTGCGAGCCGAGGTGAGATAAGTCGTGGCGACACGAGACCGCTTGGCGGCGGCGCGGCGGCGGACAGTTCACGCTTTTGAATTCCAATCGATCGACTTTTATGCAGAATACATCACGATTACACGATTTATCGAAATTATTAAAATTTATATAACATTTTACACGTAAAAAAGACTACTTCGCATGTAAACATTTGAGTTCTTTGAAGAGATATTTAGATATTGAGCTATGGAATATGGGTCAGAAGTGAGCAACATAAAACTGTCTTAAAGATATGTGGGTAAGTAGGTGCCAATGAGTTAAAGTTTCACAGTTTTCGATGCATAATGTATCACTGCAGCGGCGGCGACGACCACCCCGGCACCGTTACCGGCTCATTGTATTTTGATTGCAGACTTCCGAGAACATTCGGCTACTCGTTTGTACCGTTTACTGCGCCCATCGGCTTACCTTATTGCATTCATTATACGCTTTTTTGGTGGAAATACGTGCCCAGTATAAGAATTAATTCGCTTAAATTCAACAGTAAACATATCAACATTTTAATCGGCGTTGTTAAAAACAAACAATCTTAACTGCCAACATCATCAGCGCTTCTTTTTGTCGACTTTTAAGGATATAAGACTGGTTTTTTGTTAAAAAATATCTGTGGAAATGTAAATTTATATTGCCCCTAATTGATATTTTATTTCATGAGTGTAAATTTGTTAATTATAAAGTTTCGGGCACAGGCTCATACGAGTATAGGCATGATGGGGTTGGGTAAGAATCGATCTTTGTTTGGCAACAGACAGCGTCTTGTTCATGTTTATGTAACGTTCACTTATAGGCTTTTGTTGAAGTAATGAATACCCAATTTGTACACACCCAACATCCTTGGCCTTAATGTCGGCGCTTTTGAAGCGACGCGACGTCACGGCTCACTCGCGCCGTTAGCGCTTCGCGAAACCTTCGCAAAAACTGATAATAATAAGCCGACCGGTATCCGTCCACATCTCCTTTATTTTGACAATGACGTAATTATTTTATTCATGTTTAACTATTGAGTACGCTAACGAGATTTAAATCTTAATGACAGCATTGTGGAACATTCATTCGTATTTAATTTCTTTAATTCGTATTCAAGTTTCGATCGAAGTTTCATTAGACATAAGTGCCCGCGTGCGGTGCGGGAAATTTCCTGTTTACACGCTTGCATGTAAGACTCGTTTTCATTAGAGGGCTAGGGCTCGCAAGCGTTTAGGGATATTCCTTTGTTTACCGCACATTACACTTTCCCCATAAGCGAAGAGTCTCTGAATGCTGTACAAAGACCCAGTAATCGACTAAAGAAAATATACTGCCTTAACGGCTGTATTCAATAACATATACGAGTGTGTCGCTGTTTTCATCACATAGGCTGACATTGATGACGATGCTTGTATACATGTTTTGTAAGTCAGTTCTGTACAGATTTGTTGTATTATCGGTAGAGATTTCCAGATGTATGACAAGATAACGTTTCGAGTACTCGTTTAATCTTATCGATTTTTGTACTATATTTTGTGTACATTTGTTATTTAAGAACTCTTATCTAAGCATCCAATATGTTATGAAATTCGTCGACCGATGGTGTCCTGGTGACCGACTTCAACAGATACGGCAACGAATTGTCACATACGTAAAGTGTTACATTGATTTATGTAAACATAACGGAAAGTTTTTGACGATTGATTGATTATTCGATAAAAAACTGCCACACTCAGAAAGCCGATAATCGGTCAATGAAACAAGCTACAACTCCTAGTTATTTTAGTGCAGTTACAGTATTAAATATATAAAGATTTAGTTGAAGTAATCATTAAACGACTATGAGTCCAGTAGATCGTCGTTTGTCCGATTTAAAAATGCTTTTGTTAAAAATTGTGAAAGTATGAATCGAGTTTTCACTATGAAAGCTTTTAGAAACCGACAACGGATGTTGACTGATGTAATTTTGGAGAAACAGCGACAAATAAACAAAGGTCTGCTAAACCTTTTATCTGTATTAGAACTAAAAGCTAAAAGACATAAGTAAATGGTTTTCTATTTATGTAATACAGACGGGTACAAACCAGACCTACTTTTCACATAATTGTCACTGAAAAGATTCAGCTAACCTAATAAAACTATTAGACTAAACATAAACCTATTATCACTTTTTGAGCTTCATAAACTTCAACCTAACTCAGTTTATTAACTAAATCTTACTAATATTATAAATGCGAAAGTTTGGATGGATGGATAGATGTTTGTTAGAGTTTGTAGCCTAAACTGCTAACAGGATCTTGATGAAATTTGGCATAGATGTAGATCATAGTCTGGAAAAACATATAGGCTACTTATTTTCCTTTTTTAATTCCACGCGGACGGAGTTGCGGGCGAAAGCTAGTTATAAAATAAATCTTAATTCTTAAGGGACTTAGTGACGATTTAAGAACTCCGAGTAAGACTTTCAGAATCCTAATGTAACAGATAGACATTTTTATTTTTAGGTTATTATTCCGTGAATGCAAATTCGCTTTAAAATCTTGCAATCACTTCGTTACAAGTATGTTTACAATTATGAGTAGTACGTAGGCAGTTAGTGACGACTGGCCCAGTATTGTGGCAGGTGAAGTGGCCCACGTCCGAAAGTGTTCTAATTGTAGCGCTCGGTTACTCACCGTACTATTTACTTTGCTAACAGACGCCCCTGCCATTGACCTTGTGATAGTGATTTTCACAAACAGATGTGCCTATCTTGTATTTATAAAACTCAATTACGAACGTAATAATCGTACGCAGTTCCATTAAATATGACCTTACTATTAAAAGCACTTCGCAATTACTTACTTGTTAATGTAATTTGTTGAATTACTTATAGCTTTAAAGACTATCGAATCAACTTTTTCGTTTTTAAAATAATTGAAACAAACATTTTTAATTTCAAGGCCATTTAGGTTTCCTGTCACTTCTTAAATAATTTACAAATCTCTTTTTTTGATAACAGTAAATTAACATAAGGGGTATATCAATTATACGATCACTTACTATCATTATACGAATAATAGGTTTAAAGGTGTCTGTGATGTCGACTAAACTGGACTCCGTACTCATACTCAGAGTCGTATTATGGTCGCCCTTAGTGTATAATTGGTATGGAAACTAAGGGACACATGTAGTGGCTTAAGATCTTTGGATCCGGAAGTAAACCAATAATTTATGGTAGATGCGTTATTTTGTGGGGACTTAAACGACGGTTAGTATTATGGACTTAAAAAAATGATATTCGTACCTACAAGGAGAGTCATGTTGACTGCAGATGTCTTTCCTGGTGACGAGGATGGCTACGTCGTGGTGGTGCGGGTTCTCATCATTGTCAGGGTTCAGCTGCTGTTGCCACCAGCAGAATGATTCAAGTGTTGAATCAGCGTTGGTCGATACTTTCAGTTCCGGCGCCGATTGCATTTCTTCGACCAGTATTATTTTGACGACGGCAACTTTAATGTAGTTTCCAATTGATGGGTCCATGTACAGAGAGGAAACCTACAAGATAAAATATTGAGTAAATAAATCTTAATACTAGGAGAATACCACTACTTTTTTAACACGTGCAACGCTTCTATGATTTTTATGAACTAACGTGAACATGCCGTGGGTGTAGGCGGTACTGAAAGTGTTAATCTTATGAGAATATATCGCCTGCGAAACTTATCTAAATGTTTGAAGAGTAATTGAAGTATTTTTGGATGGTTTAATAACATGGGTAAACGTTTTAACGGAGCCCAGAGTTTAGTACGCTCAAGGGGTAAAGACGGCCCAGTCTAAATTACATACGAAAAAGTACAGATCTTGTGATAACGATAATCTTTTTAAACAGCTATTTAACAAGTGCTTTGGCTGAAATGACCGTGAGAAGATTTGTGTTTTTTTTTTATTTTTACTCAATTTAAATAACAAAGTAATATAATTCACTTGGTACGTGATTCTGCAGTTAATAGACATTAAGAAACATATCTTGTAAACGAAACGAGATTTATATGCAACGTTTGCTTTAGGAATTAAATGTTTTATTATGGTTATCTTCAGTTATCTTTGCTGGGTGGAGTTACTAAATATATACTGATCTGGTGATATTTTTATCAAAGAAGTAAACATTTAAAATTGAACTACCAAATGTTTTTTTATAATACTCCACTTTGTGAAGTGTGGATGTCCGAAAATTCGAAATTATATGTTTTGGTTGATAAAAACGGTATGAAAAAAAATATTATTCATTCTTAGTGTAGTAATCCCTATTCTTAACATAAAAAACTTTCACCTCTAAATATAAATAACATTAATGTATATCGTATTTACCATATTCATAATCGTCAGTAGATACGTCTCCAAGCTTCCCCGATCGTGGAAGTCAGTCATAGACTTATCTGCGACCAATAACACCTCGACGTGCTGCGGTCGACTCACAGAGCGCGTGGACCGTCGCGTGCTGTCTCTACTGCCGTGCTTCCAGTGATCCTTACTGCGACTGTTCTAAAATCATACCTTATATTGTTATAAATGTTATTATCCAATAGCCCAACAGATCACTTATGCGTCTTGTAGGGATTCCCTGCTAAGGTTAGGTTGTTTTGCGCAAAGTAAATTGGTTTTGACTTTTTGGTCAACCTTTTTAGAACCCTACATTTATACTATTATAATAAAGCGTAAACACACACTTCTTTGTTGCCTAAGATGTCAGGATTATTTTTGAACAATTCTTTTTGTAATAAAAAGCCCTACACTTACGTCACGCTTTAGGCTATATATCTTCAGGCTATTAAACTTAGGGGGTAATTTTTTTGGATAAAACACTAATTTGGGCAATAGACCATATGTTGCTGCCAATATCAAGGAACCAAGACTGTCAAGGTTTGTCATGTCATTTAGACATTTGCTATTGATTAATTGACAAATGTAAAATATTAAATAAAATTTTCACAATTTGATGCGGATGAAGCCGCACGGGAACAGCTAGTTATCTCTAATTTACTAAGTTACTTTTACATATAAGTCTAGCAAATTTATATATAATCGTTATTAATCCTGTTTTGTAGAATTGAGTTATAAAATGTTATATGGCAAGTTATATTATTTAAGAGCGAAATTTGTAATTTTTAAATATGTAAATGGTAATAAACTTGGAAACACTTTAGATCCCGCCGCAGTTCTCGTCCACCAGTTTACTAGACTTGCCTTATTCTTGCCATTAAATCGCCAACGATACACACGTGATTGCAGCATTTCGCAACTAGAAATCGTGGGATAGCGCTATTTATTACACGCTTAGTGTATCCGCTATAATGCAACCACAAACTCTCCTAACACTAAATAGGGTCAGTCCTGTATCTGACATCTGCTTTCCATGAGAATTACTCGTAACTGTGAATGTACAAAAAGTTTTTGCTTACCTTAATATTCTGGTGTGTATTCGATGTGTCATTTTGCCTTTGGAAATTTTTTGTCTTCCATTGATACGGTGGTTGTTTTGTTGCGCAATTTTTCGATCTCTTTCGCCTTCGTCTATTTCTAATACGTCGTAATCTCAGTCGGTCAGATATCTTTTCTCGACTTTGACCTTTGCTATGAGAAAATTCGTAAGAATTACTATTTTCGATGGATCTACTTCTTGAGTTTGTTTGTGGCCGTCGTTGTGCCATTCGTAATCTCGCTTGGTGCCTCCGGAATTCGGTAGGATTAAGTCTAATAGCTTCTAATCGTTTTCGTCTTGCTTCTAAATATTCTCTTCTCCGTCTGTCCATAGCCTCTTTATTTATGCGGTTTTGATGAGTGTTTGAGTATCTTCTGGTATTTGTGTTACTTAATTTGTTATTAAATTTATTTTGTGGTATATTTGAATTAGTTCTGCTATCAACTTCTCTCTTCGCACGATGATATGCTTTAACTTTGTCTACGGCCGACCGTTTAAATATTACGTGTGGTCGCCCCGCGGAACTATCGGTGGGAACTTGATTGGATGGCTCGATCCAGTACTCTCCGTGCTCAGTCCGTAAAAGGCCCGCCTGTCGGATGCAGAAATGCTATTAGTATTTCATTAACAAATATATACCTATTATTCAAAAATCAACTGAGGTATGAATCTCTATTCTCTAAAAATATATCGAAATCTGTATAGGGTCTGTATGTCTGAAATAGGGTTACAACTACTTGGATTAAAGTTTAGAATCGTATTAAATCTTCGTCTAGGTTATTTAGACGTAGCACCATTATGCGTATGTATTATATTTAGTTTAAATTTACGCATCAACAACCGGTTTAACGACTCGATCGACAAATCTGTTTCTATTACTGCTCGCTACTAAGATAAATTGTTTGATAGCGAAATCTACATAATTTTGCGGGGAATTTAACGTAAATCGTTTCATTTAGACCGCTTTATTAAGTGCCAGCTAACTAATCTACAACGTTGTTGAATGTTATTCTTGATCATTAATGTCGCGATATCAAATGAAGATTGTGTCGTTTCTACGAATATAATAATTATTAATGTTTTATAGCGTGAAAGTTACTGTTACTTTAGACAAGATGCCTTAGGCTGATATGTTTTACAAAATATGATTCGAAAGTCTGATTGATGTAAGTTTCACAGACTTGAAGAATTGAATACGACGAGATATAGACGAGTGTCTATTGATGTTCATTATTACAAGTGTTTTGATGTACGAACGTAGATAAGATACGTATACTCCCCAAAAAAATCCTATAAAATACATGTAAGGTAAATGTACATGTAATTGATAGTTAAGTCATTAAATCTTCTTGTTTGTTTCTCTTCCAATGTAGTAGAAACATTTTTTTACAAACCTTTTAAGTGATCAGTTTTTCTGCAACCTATCTTGTACATATTTAAGTTATCGAATATCTTATGAGGCACGAAATTTAAAACATCAATTACTGGGTCACTAGCGACTTTTGGGCATTTTACCTTCAATAACAAATAAATACGGTACTAGACATGAAGTCGACTAATGTAAATATTTAATATTTGCGATCGATTAAACGTTTGATAAGTATAAAGCGTTGCTGGCACTTGACTGGTCACTTACGGCTGACGGCGGTCGGTCAAGTGGCTCCTACACGACTAGCAGTTGTCCGCTATTTATATCAATTTTCTATTATTATCTTTACCAAAAGTTTTTACTGTCATGATATGAAAAACGTTTAAATGTAATCAAAATAATAGTTTATTATTGTGTTTAATAACGTCCCAATTTTGGTCGTAATTTAGTAGTTACATTGTCAAAATTCGAAAGAGAATTAAAATTGTGACAAAAAGTTTGGTGTTACTAGCATGACTATATCCTAGCTTATTTATTACATTATTTATTTAACTAGCTTTCGCACAAGACTTCGTCCGCGCGGTATTAACAAAAGCGAGTAGGCTATGTGTTCTTCTAGACTATTCTCTACATCCATACTAAATTTCATTAAAATCCGTTTAGCCGTTTAGACTACAAACTCTAACAAACATTCATCTATCCATCCATCTAAACTCTCGCATTTACAATATTAGTACGATTAGATCTCTTATAGTTGATTTTTTTATATAAATACTTCGAAGGTTAACATCTGAAAAAGCCTTATAACCGTCACCTTACGATCTTGACTCGATCCTTTTATCTTTGTAGCGAATTAATCGACCTCATATCCAAATCAGTATAATAAACGCGAATGTGTATTCTTCTATTAGAATCAGAGAACCTTGTGTATACAATGTTATTTATACATGTTAAATGTTAGTAGGATTGTTTGGCAAATCGTAAATGTAAAGGTGGTTGCACATAACATTTAATATAAACTAGATTGTTTTAGTGTTTTGTTTGAATCGGTTTCGTATAATATTGTATGTTTTGTCGGTTTTTGTTCTGCAACGCAAGTAAAAATTCTACTAATAAAAATTGCAAAGTGTGTACCCATCTTAATGTCTTGAATGATATGAAATTATCACATCTCGTAAAAATTATACGTTTCGATTTCTGTCTACCCCATAAGGTTATACAGTCGTGAATGATATCGTATCCATTAAAATGGTTTACTATATGTGTAAAGTATATTAAAAAAGTCATGACTAAAATGAATCATAATAAAAACCAATCTATCGTACGATAAAGCAAACACGTTTTTTCTCGTATATGTTTATAGTTTTCGAATGTATTAATGCTTTTAAATTGATTGAAAATCATTGGCCATTCATAATTCAAACTCGCCAGACAACTCGCGTTTTATAAAGTCGAAAAAAGAACGGCTATAAAATAATTTGTGGCCTTAATGCAATATGTCATGTTAATTAAGACTAATCTTTACTATGCTTTGAATAAAGTCTATTTTACAATGATGGTACTTATCTTACAATGTTATACTCAAGCTATCGTATTTGTGGTTAAACTAGCTAAATAAAATTCAGTACTTCTTTAATCAAAAAGCGAAAATAATCGTAAATTCTATTTACTTACGGTATTTGTAACTAAATTTTATTTTTAAAAATAAGACTTACGGAGCAAATAAGAGCGACTAAACATCAACATGACTATCAACGTGGAAACAGGCCAAGATATAAGAAAAAAACAAAAGACTTATAAAATAAACACTTTTCAACAATTTAGACATTTCATTTCAAATAAAATCAAGAAGAAACGTTTAGTGAGTTCATCCACACGTCGTCACGGGAGTAAATCGGTCAAACTGTAAATAAAATTGTTTACGGTGAATTGTCATTTATTTTCGTCCGAGAACAATGTACTGCATATTACCCAATTAAAAAACCTTTAGAGCTCATTCACATAAGATGGTAGACACATTGCGTTACGCTCGTGTGATCAACTTTAGAGAGACGCAAGTTGACGCACCTCTTAAGTAGCCAATTTCGAATGCAAATTCGAAAAATATCGAATAAAAATTTAATTTTGCTAATATTATAAATGCGAAAGTTTAGATGGATGGATGTTTCTTAGAGTTTGTAGCCTAAACCGCTGAATGGACCTCGATGAAATTTGGTAAAGATGAAGACAGTCTGGAAGAACATATGAGTATAGGCTACTTATTTTTGTTTTTATTTAATTCCACACGAACGGAGCCGCTGGCAAAAGCTAGTCTACTATAATCCTTAAGTAGATTTTAAGGCATTAAATTTAAATGTCGTAACACTATAGTTATTTTCGTAAATTATTACAATTTTTAATATTTCTGAGTAACTATAATTTGCATAGACTTAGCTACCTTGTATGGTGATCATTAATTTTGATATAAAAGATACGACCTTGTTCCTCTACAAACAGATTCATGTGTTTTTTAATTTACGGCGTATAGTATAACCGACAATAAAACTTGACGGTTCTTAGTTATAGTTAATTTTTTACTACTGCGGTTATTATGGTTTTGCATTAGTATGGTAATTCGAACATGAATGAATATTACCATCTCTTTCGTCAATTTAAATTTTGAATATTAATTGATAGAAACGCGTTTTTATTCCATAAAATTGTTAAGATAGTTGAGGCGGTAAACTTTGTATTAGAGAACAAATGAACAATTAACAATATGAGTATTGGATTTGATGTAATATTATGAGAGACAAAAACGCGGTCAAAAGTTATTACTTTGACTATCAATATTATCAAATCTGAGTTCTTCAAAATTATCTGACCCGGTAAGAGTGGCGCTGTTATCCCGATTACTTCCTACCAGTTTAGGTAAGTTTGCACTAATTGTGAAAGTTGTATATGGCTTGTAAATACGATAAAAAAATCATACTTTATGAAAGGTTGGTTAACTGTAACAGCGTTTCTAAGCAGGTGGGTACACTGCGGGTGGAAAGCCCGCCCACATCCTGTCGATAACTAAAGTGCGTTGTGTGCATGAACTTTCCAGTATGTTTTGCATTGTACTAATTGTTTATGCAGTTATGTTTTTTCTTTGTAAGTGTACTAACCAGGCCATCGCACGCTGAAAGCGCGACGCTCGACGCGGGCTGTCCGTGTACAGCCCCCGTGTAGTGGCAGGATGTGGCGGCGGCGTGTGGCCTCTCCCGCGTGCGCCCGCTCGCCGTGTGTCTCTCTATCACCATCGCCGGAGTTATGAATGTTACCGACGGCCTGTGTAAGAAATATTTATCATTAACTGCTTTACTATACAAGCATTAGATTAATAAAATAAGATTTTAAGCTCCCTTGGATAGAAGAGCCTTTACAATTTAACAATCGCGCGATTTCTTTTAATTCAGAATGAGAACAAGAGTGGACATGGAATATACATAAAAAAAAACAGTATGCTTGCTAAAAGCTTGATATATATACCAAAATTGCAATCATGACGATCACATCATCGTGATGTCCTTTCGATAATTTAAAAATGGAATGCAAAAACATTTTCAAGGATGGTCTTAAGGATGCTGCTGGAACGCTCGATAGGACGTGTCCCAAATACCGATAATTTACCAGGAATGCACGGACGATCAGCCAGAGATTAATGACCCAACGAAGGCAATATAAATAAAATAAAACCGCATTCGTTGCAATTAAGTTTTAGCATTTATATGGCCGCTTTTTAATTCCAAGTATGCAAATAATTACTCTTTATAATTTAATACAGATGGCGTTTTTTATGTGTTTCAATGTCACATGTCAAATTAAATTATTATATCATGTTGGGTTTAATTAAATTTATGGAAAAAATTACAAAATATCCGCTCTATTTTCAGATTCAACACACATTTTCATAATTAAATGTGACGAGGGTTTTTTTTGGTGGACAATTGTTGGTTTTCTTAAGTCTCGTAGTTTTTTGTTTTTTTTTTCAAATAAAAGAAATGTTGTAAAAACCTTTTTGCTAATTTTTCATAGAGAAAGTTTTTTCGATTTACTTATTTATAACTTGTTCAATGATAATAAAATGTAACGTGATAATTTTCGAACCTAATGATAAACTAACATAAAAATTAATTACTACGATATAACAAGTTTATCAAATGCGTGTTCCTTTATTCAAACTTCATTTGATTAATTGTCAGAACTGGCTCTCAGTTTCGCTAACATGATAGATTTCTCTTTTTTTAATCAATTCATCGATTTTTTCATGTTTATCTTGTACCATGTTTAGAACACGTGTTCTTTTATTATTATTTAATGTTGTAGTAACAAATTAAAACGATATAGTCGTAACTGGTATTAACTGGGAGAGATTTTACCGGATTTTTGTTCAGATTTCTTTTCAGTAACAGTGTTTTTTTTAGCTATTGAATTTCATCGCCTCGGCTTTGGTTAATTTTATGAATCAATTCGGGCTATAATTTCAAATGAAACCCTCTTGCGGGTAAAACGTATTCTTCATCGGCTATAAATCGCGATTTGATTGCATATCGGTCAAGGCATCTGTCCAGTGCGTGCCATAAAAAACGTAGAATTCGAGTTAGCACTCGGTTAAGATTTATCGCGCGAGTTCCCATGGCCGGCCTTAGACGACGGAAAACGAGGAATGCAACAATTTATCGATTGCCACGGAGAAGGCAAAGATATATTATGGTACCACTGACACTGTATTGACTAGTTTAGATGCGTTTCGTTAAATATTTATTAAAGAAAATTTTCCTTCTCTCTATTCCTATATTTGGACGCGCATCCCACTCTTGGTAGAGTCTATATTAACTTATGGCAACCGAGTTTACTAGTGCAGTGTAAAATTTATTCCACTAAAATGTTTTAAACAGTTTCTAGGTTAGAGGATATCGCGAATTTCGATAGTAAATGTAAGGTATGGGTACTATCGACATCTTAAGAATTCGCATTTATCTTTCTTATGATTAATACGTAGACTTTCACAGCTATTTAATCTAAGGAATGTTCTACGTAAGTCTTTATAAGGACTTGAATGAGAGCTTTATAGAAATGCATTGAATGCAATCTTGGTTAGTATTATTTTCACATTTGCGTAACATCTTTGAGGTTATTAAGTTTAAAATTGCAACTATCAGCTATAACACTGAAGATCGAAGGATGACGTCAAATTTGAAAATTTAAGTTCCCAGGATTGGACAACAAACTAGTACAACTAGACATCAACAAACAGAATTCAAACAGTCCGGTCTATGTTTTTTAAAGTCAATGTGGGCAGTTCAACCTTGGACAGGGTGAGCTGTCGATCGTCAGGCAAACAGGTCGGCAACTAAGCACACAGATAAGACTCATTATGGCAATTAGTGGAGGTAAATATGGCCGCCCCAGATATACAGAGGCGCTGCGGACGGCGCGTGTTGACACGACGTGTGGCGTAGTCTGACAGACTGATCTGACCCGGTGAGGATGAGTGGAACTAAATTATATTAACTTAATGGTATCCGTCTCTGTCTTAGTTTCTGTCTATTAACCGCGATACGAGCGCCTTTCAGTGTGCCAGAGCAGTTTGTTGGACTATGCAACTCCGATGCGATAAGATAGATTATTGTTTTATTTACGTTGGTTTCGTATCTAGTTAATTGTAAGTAAATGTCTGTAGTAGCCATGTTACTTTGTATGTGGATGTGAAAGTAACGGAATAGCTTGCCTCAACTATTAAAGTGTAATTTTTGAATTATCTTCAAGTAGAGTCACTGTTTATTAAAAAGGTTAAGAACATCCGTAAATTTTATATTATACTACGTATTTAACTTTCTCGATTGACAGGTAATAGAGATCAGTCGCTTGTTTACTACATTTTATCATAAAATATATTTATCTTAGGTAACTGTATAATATGTACGGACAACGCCACAACCTTTATATAATATTAAAAAAAGGCATACTTAGTAATCTTTTGACCTTTACAGATAAAATCTGAATTCGTTTGAAATAGATAGGTATCGACAAAATTAATATTTCATGCGAAAGAATTCAAAAACGGAAATGATTTAAGAATAATTTGCCCGTTACTGAATTAAATATTCATATGTTTCCTTTGATGCAACGCTGCTATTTTTATTACTACTTTTAAGAAAATAAAAAAACGCACGGCATTATTTAAAAGCGTTTTACTTCTAATATATTTAACTTAATTGGTTAAGCAACAAAACTTCAAAGTTAAACGCATTTCCTCTAACTTTCAATTAAGTAACAATTGAAATAAGTTGTGGAATAAATTCTCTTAAGCTTTAAAGCACTAAGTAGTTTAGACTTAACATAAATCTCTGAGAAGTGTTCTGCCTCCCGCTGGCTTATTTTATTAAGCTTTTACGAGGCCTTTGCACTTCAACCTTAACTTTAGGCCGTTTAAAATGAAATTATCTTTTTTTCCAGCTCTTGCTTTCTGTTTGCAATTTTGACAGGGATAAATAAAAGAGAACATTGGAAGATAAACGATCGTAAACATTTCATGTTGTTTGAACGAAAGGAAAAAGGTGTGAGCTAATGGTTACCTTGGAATTGCCTGTAATTTCAGTTTTTTTTTATTATTTTTAAATGAGTTCTCGCTCTATTTTTAAAGGTAAGTAAGAAGATTTACAATTTAAAAAGGAACAGAATTATGATTGACAAAGTGTGAAGCAATTTTAAAAACAAAAGAAAGTAGGTATAGATCATGATGAGCTATTTAAATTTATTTAAGATAACATTATTTGTAATACAATATTGTTTAGATGTAGATTTTTTTAAAATAAATCAGCAACTAACTCCACGTAACTGAAGCCTGGTGGTGGTAACTATTTCATAAATAATATTAAAATCGCATTCGTGCTGTTACTAAGTAGCGTTAAACTGGCAACATTGCGTAGGGCATTGCGTAAATCGTGCTAACCGAACTGAATTTAAATGGCCGTAAACCACACGCTGGTTAATTTAGCGTCATCTATAATTCTCCCGCTGCTAAAATGAAACATGCACAGCGGTACTACGATGTTTAACACAAATTTAAAATTGACTACAAAATGTAATTTATGATCCGTACAAATGTAGATTAAAAGTTAAAACGCAAATGGACGAAATAAACTGTGGCAATTTAACATTGCAATACATTGGACGCCGTAGGTAGACCTCCCACAAGATAGAGTCAAGGTTATTAGAGTGCAATGGATGAAGGTGGAAAATATTAATCTTTTCAACAGTTATAAAGATTTATTACTCAATTTTTTGTTTTTTTATAGTAAAGGATATTTTTAATAAAAATATGTAAATGTTATTAAATCATCATTTTTGCTAGATGCAGAATTCCTTAAGCCAGCACTTGTACTCAGATAAATAGCGCACGAAGTTTTAAAAGCGAAGAAATAGCTTCTCAGTATCACAGTAATAAGGTCTGATGAGGCGCTGTAAAGAGATCCTTCCGAGAAACACTCGGAAGCGAAAACTCGACTGTCGATGATTCGTGTAGTACACAAAGCAGGCGCACATCTTTGACTAAACTATCGCCCAACTGTTGTGCGATTGTCGATTGTTTTGCAGCCAATTCAACTGTTTAGTTGCACAATTAAAAATCGAGTTGTTGTGCGCACCTCCATATAAGCTTATAGGAATCAAAGCGAGACTAGACAGTTGTGTGATACTTTCAGGTGTGCGAACGCTCTTAATGTAAACTTAATTTTTTTCTTTTACATATAGCATTACGACCGTAGCTCACATATGTGGGTAGAGGTTAAGGTTTCTACTTGGTACATGTATATCGTGTTTCTATGTAAATCTAATCGATATAATTTTTCTTTCTTAATCTTTCTGCAATAAACTTGCCCGAAGTAAGACGGATGTTTGTGTTTGTACTATATTATATTAGTCTTATTTATAGTCATAATATCCGCGTCTAGCAGCAGTTTGCTACGCGAAAGTTCTTTGATACTATATGTTTACATTGCGAGCATATTCATATAGTCTTGTGAAACTCTGATCATTTAGAGATACACTTCATAGTGTCATAAGATTAGGAAGTACTTTGAAAAATGTGCTCTTTGGAATTCAACTCCGGTTGATTCTATCTATCTATCAGTAGTCTATTCATAAATCTCTAAGGGCTTGTGCCACAATTCTTGTAAATTATCAGATAATAATCAAACGTATAATATATGTGACGGAAATATTGGATATTGGTACTCTATGACAGTGACGTCACTTTTAAGCTATCTGAGCCTCTATCAGC